ACTCTAGGGCCAGGACATTCGGTGGATCAGACCGCACCATTGGCATACTAGGGGGCTAGTACTTCATTAATAAAGTTATTTTGTCAGTGGCTCTTCTGGAACCGCTATGGGGGGGTAAAGGGTTAAAGTCATATCAATTCCATCAACTATTGGCATTCGGTGAATATCTTGACTGTCGGGTTATGTGAAGTATCAGACGAACCAAAATAATCGTAGGGATGGGGCTTATTATTTAATTGGACATATTCCACAGCAAAAAGTAATTTTAGTTTGCATTGTGTGCACGTATTAAAATGGAGTATTTCTGATGGGTGGATAGATTACGATTCATCCAGCCATATTATATGACCAAACTATTCAAGCGATCCACCAGCTGATCATGGCCTAAGTGCAGATAAATATTTTTCCAGTTGAAGACTGGAAGTAAGATAGTAAGTGTAGCTGTGAAGGTTTGAGAAGAAAAAGTAACTTTTACTTTCTTTGTACCATCTTTACTTTTGATAACTACAGCAATGCTTAGGTAAAATAATTAGTGATGCTATGGAATGTATTCGAATGTTCACTCACACATTTCAATCAAAAGAGAAGTTCTCTTTCTCGCTCTGTCTATGAAAGTTCAGTTCGTCTGAAAAGACTACAGAATGATCAAAAATTTGAACTAACCTACGATGCAAAAGTAACTGGACAAAATGTCTCGCCATTTTTCTTGTGATAAAATACATTTCAAAAAAATGAAAAAAAACGTTAAGAATCTACATTTAAAGAGCTATCGAACTGTGTATTCAAAAATTTTCTATCGCTTTTAGTCTCCTCAGAATGAGCGAATCTCTGCTATGCCCTAAGAACTAAGCTTTGTACAAGAAGAAAATCTGGTATTTTCCGAAACTTTTTTTGCCCATGCTTTCTACAACAGTACGCAATAAAAAATGTTCCCGGGGCAGACGGAAACCATTTCGTTTTAGAGCAGGAAAGTGTGTGAGGGCGTGACCCCTTCCACGCCGTCATGCACCCCTCTCAGTAGTTGTATTCCTTATATAAATTATTTGCAGTACATTACGAAAATGTTTTTCCGACATAAGATTGTAGAACAGACGATCCTCTACACGATGAGTTGTTAAAATACACGACATAACGGTCGGAAATTATTCGCGTTTTTTTAACATCATTTTTTATGGAGAGACATTTGTCTAGTTACGTTGCTTAAATATATCACGAATACAAGACCAGCCAAGATCAGATAGAATAGATTCGGAACTACTACCACACATAGCACCGGTAACAGCTAATGCTGCACGATATTGTGCGCTCTGAAGACGTTATAAATTATATTCAGTAGTATTACTGAAAACAACACATCCATAAGAAAAACACGGCAAAACAAAGGATTTATAAATTACATCTAATGCTTGTCGATTTACCACACGACTGTGCAATTTTAATAGTCCAATCAGTTTATTGATCCTAAGTAGTATATTATCAATATGCGTAGTCCAATCTAGCCTTACAGTTAATAACAATCCCAAGTGTTTATGAACAGTGGTTTGCCTGACCGGATTATTAGCAATGTATAAACGCGGTAGAACAGCAGGAACAGGTTTTACTGTGAATAGCATTGTTCCACACTTCAATATATTAAGAGATAATTTCCAATGTTGAGACCATTTATCAATCATGACTAGGTCATTATTTAAATCAGAAGCCATTTGTTGAAGATCAGTTCCTTTCCTATACAGTGATGCGTCATCAGCAAATAATTTCATGTCACAAACAAGGTTATCACATAGATCATCATATAGATTAAGAATAGTAAGGGATCGAGTACACTACCTTGAGGTACTCCTCTATTAATAGTTTTTCTTGATGAAAACCAACCTTCATCAACTGTAACAATATCCTATCAAAAAGATAGCTTTCAAACTATTGAAGAAGGAGAAGTGGTATTCCCTTAGCTTCAAGTTTCGACAGTAGACCCTTATGCCAAACTGTATCAAAAGCCTTGGCAAAGTCAAGGAAAACACCGAAAACAGATTACTTTTCATCAAATGCTTTATATATATTATGTACAATCGACAGCAAGTGATTGACACATGAATCATGGTGTCTAAATCCAGATTGGTTCTTATTAATGAGATATTTTCCTACAAAATATCCATACAATTTTTTAAAAACTAAACGCTCAAGGATCTTAGACAAAATAGGCAACAGAGTAATAGGTCTATAATTTTTAGGGTTACTTTGGTCACCAGATTTAAAGATAGAATCAATCTAGCCTATTTTCCATGTAGATGGAAATACGCACTGATTGAGGGATTCATTAAACAAATGAGTTAGAATACTACAGACAATAGATGATGCTTCCTTCAACATTCTAGGTGATAATCCTGGCGCCGAAGCTTTATAACAATCTATTCTTTCTAACAACTGGAATACATCAGGCTCAAATATTAGAAAAGTAGACATCATCGTTTTTGATTTTCTAATAGTTTTAGGAATATCATTCAGATCTGCAGTGCTCATGGTGCATACGGAAGCGAAATATTCATTTAAAGCATTCGCTTTGCCTACTGAATCGTTTTTGAGTTCACTAGTAGTCATAGAACATATAGGCGGAACAGACGAACGCTTTCCGCTTCCAAGAGCATTTTTAACAAGAGTCCACCATCTTTTCGATTTAGTACTGAGATCAGATGATATTTTCCGATAGTACAATTTTTTTGCTTCATTACATTCATGTTCAAATGTTTTCGCAATTTTTTTATATAATTGTAAATTATACTCATTCTTTGTACGACGTTACCGACGAAGGATCCTTCTATTAAACGAAACCCATTAACATCTGAAAGCTGCAAGCGATAATAGTGCCAGTCAGTATTTTATAATCATATATGGTTCGCTCTCGCTTTTGTACAGGTTCATTTATAGATTTAATTGGAACTTGAATTATATTATGATCACCAGTTGAACACAGTCGAGGTAGAACAAGAATAGACTTAACACAGGATAGGCTATCAACAAAAACCAAATCAAGACAGGTGTCAGACTTTTCTCTAGTAGCACAATCAACTAGTTGATAAAGAGTAGCTCTCTCTGAGAAGTCATACAATTCTAGCCCTGCTCTGGTAGAAGTTTTAGTAGAAGTTGGGTATCATAACTTACAATGTCCATTAAAATCGCCTAATATAAGCATTTCATTAAAACTGTATTTTGTAGATGATCTAACCTCATTTAGTACATCATCAATATGCTCAGTGAAGCCACACATATTAATCCACTTAGGTCTATAACATGCTATAAGAAACACTATTTTACCTCTATTCAGTTTTATATTCATATACATTGTTTCAAATTGATCAGTCTCAAGTTGCTGAAATCTGTTTGAGATAACATCATTTCTTACATACACCAATAATCCACCATATCCACTAGTACCGCCTTTTCTATCTTTTCTGTAAGGTAGTTGATATCCTGTTATCTCTAGGTCGTTGATGGATACAGAACTATTAAGCCAGGTCTCAACAATAACGACAATCACAGGGTTTTTTTGAGATACAATCAAAGTCAATAAATTAAGTTTAGCAACATTTCTTACATTCGATAAGCAAACGTCAGTATCTATTTCAGCCATAATACTATTTGCATTTAAGAGAAGACATGTGTTTTCGGGACGGTCTGACTCCTTCATACAACGATTAAGTTGAAATTCCATTTTTCTTCTTACGTTGGTGACGAAAGAGATTTTCTTGAAACAATATGACAGTAGCGCTTCTTTGTGTTTCTTCTCGAACAAAATCTATTTCTTTTTGAACTATGTCTTATCACTTCTTATAATGACAGACCAGTTAAGGTCGAAATATCGTGAATAAAATAATAAATGATCTCATTTTACTCTGCTGCTATAATTCTCAAAATTTCTTTCGAAAATTTGCCCTTCAGTTTACCTAATATTATTTTGTCTTATCAGTGTTTCACACTTATATAACTATTGAATAATAGACCTTAGTACACTGCACTCTTGCACAAAAGCATGTTTCAACGCATGTGTCAAAATTGTATCTCAGGTGAGAAGCGAATATTTTCGCAGAAATATTGGTTTCTCAACAGAGACACTTGATTGAAATATAATTTGTATCTCAGTCGAGGCGTTACGTATTGTAGTTACTTGATCACGTGTTTGTATAAATTTTAAGTTCAAAAAATGTTGCATATTGCTTTAATTGAGCATATTTCAATACAACGGCGAGTTATTTAATGTATAATGTTGTACATTATATGCTTTATTGTAAAAACATAGCCTCGCATACTTATGACGAGTATCAGTCAGAAAGTATCAAAATGGTTTGGAGATTTTTAAGAAAGTCTTTAGTTTTGAGATTTCTTTGAAGCTTATTGAATGTTCGAGACTTGAGAAAGTGCAATGAAACATGAAATTGTGTAAGTTTATTCAAAGATAGGTAAGAAATAATTTTTTCCGTAAAAATTTTGAAATTATATACAAGAAAATAATCGAGTGGCATTTATAACTGAAACCGTTCATTGTTCACAAACAGCAAGTTTGCCATTGCAACCAAGGAGAAAAGTTTTTCATAATGTTTAGTCTGATTGTTTATTATCGATTCATTGGATCAGTGTTCCCATTTATCAAAGCCACTTGGCATACTTTCATCGTCAGTTTGTTGAGTGCTGCAAAAAATGTTTGTCGATAAAGACTTGCGCCGAGGATAAAAATGTAAAACTGTATACTTGATTCTAAATTAAGTGTTATTCGGGATAAATTTTGAATGAATTCAAACAGTTCACTGGGATTAGTGATAATACCGGATAAAACTAACATAATAACATAAGGCGAAGCGAGAACAAGAAATGATGCTAGTTGAATACATAACATGTTGAACAGTTGACGATCAATGGATATTTCACGATGTGGCTTCTGATTTGAACCGCCACCAACACGTCGACGTTGATCACGCACGTTTTTGATTGTTAATAACCCAAAAGTAAGAATCAAGCAGAGTAAAACGGAGTACTGCGTCAGCGTTATAATCCCAAAAGCTTTCGTGTAGCTGCCCAGTTGCGGTATACACACTTGGTAAACGGGATGGATGTAGTAGAATACGAGTATGTGTATATTGATTACTGATAAAACGAGGACAACTGCTGGAATAATACGGTAAGCAACAGTAAGTGAGCTGAACTGTCGACGACGGGCACTCATTGAGGATGCACAAAAACGATCGATGGTGGTTAAAAGAGTGAGCCACGGTGAAATCTGATAAATCAAGTAAGAAAAATAGTTTCGAAATTTACAAAAAACAGTTGAATAACGAGTGGGATCCACTTCATAGCTGTCAGCCAACATTCTTGTGATGACGCCAAAATATAAAATGAAAAAATTATTGATGGCTGCTGCAAGAAAATAGATTGAACATGAGGAACGTAATGATCGACGCGAGAAGATGTAAATGCTGAATAGATTGCCAATTGTGCCTAGTGCAATAATCAATGGCTCCATATATGTGCTGAGCTGGATGTAAATCGTCTCCCATGTGAATGAATTTGTGCTTGCCATTTCTACGAAAAAAATCATGCAACTGAGCAACCCTAGTTCACGTTTCCTGATGAAGTCCTCGGTGAAGCCCCCAAAAATGTAAAATCGCTAGGAACTTCCCAGAGATTCCCTGTAAAATCCCTTATTTCCAGGAAGTAGGGAAAAATAATGAAGCCCGTGGCGATTCTCTAGGGATTTCTGAAGGACAATGCACAGCATATGCACCGTTTTATTTTGCGTCTGCAGAACGTGAAAATTAAAACAGGAACACCTCTTGTTTCTAAATTAATTTCTTTCTTTTTTAGATAAGTGTAACTGAGCCCACCTTAGACTCGTCGACGTTAACTCGTCGCTTCGACGTGAGTTAACTTTCCAGCTGAGTGACTCGTCCACGGGACGAGATCCACTAAGTGAGAAAGAGTTTTGAAAAGAAAGTAGCAGTTTTTCCTTCTGACCACTATCAGTCTGTATTATACACTGATAGTTATAGACTCTATCATCAGTTATGATTCGCTATTCTTGGTCTTTTCCTGTTATTAGGCATGCACCGGGACGGGAACATTCCGAAATTTCCGTGTCGGGAATCCCAAAAGTCAGGAATCTCGAACTCGGTAATCCCAATATTCCGGCTGATGATAAAATTTTGTTTTTGAGTTTCAGTTTTGAAAATGTAAAAAAAACTATCGGGCGCAAAATCTATAAGTAATAATAACTTCGCGACTAGCCTAGGCATGTATCGGATCGGGAAGCACATTACAGCTTTCTCATTATTCTCACGACACAGCGGCAAGCAACAGAAAATTTAAAATTCGGAATCCCGAGATCGGAATTCTCGAGTTCGAGATTCCCGACCCGGTGCATGTCTACCTGTTATCATTACAGTTTTTTGTCATCTTCTTTGACTATTCGTAGTACGCATAGCAAAAGAAAAGTATTATAAGTACAATAAGCGCGAAATTCATTGTTTTTCTTTATTCTCTTATTTTTCGTTTTAAAATGTCTAGCAGGCGTACAAAAAGAACAGACAGTTGATTTTTTTTCCTTAAGGGATCATTCTGATGTTTGGTGTAAGATTTTGGTCTCCACAAAAAAAACGTCTTTTCCTGCAGGGAATGCAGGCAGGAAAATATTCTTCTTTAGTTGCCGACCGTCAGTGGAAAAGTTTTCATTCACCTGCAACCTGCCTGCACTGCCATCAGCTTTCAATCAGTTTAA